TGCTAGATGGATCTTTCATCTGTACTCGGAGTCGGAGAGACAGATAGATATTCTTCCCTAGCATTTTGGAAATTAGTAGGAGCTTTGTTTCAAGTCAAATTAGAAATGTGCTAAAAAAAGTCAAATTAGAAATATATAGTTGGTTATTTTTTTATGTTATCTAATAAATATCTAAATTTCAAAAATTGTTTAAAATATTTTTAAACTTTTAATTATACATTTAACGGGAGTATGTTATTAACTCTATTAAGTTATATATATATTGGAACTGGGTTGAAATGCCACATGGCTCGAGATTTAGGGATTGTCGCTATAGCCGAACACAGGAGAAATATCATCTATACCGATACTGACAAGATCCTTTTTTCGGGTAATGGGTATACTCGAAGAATTCCATTAGTTATGTATCAACGTTCTAACAAAAATACTTGTATGCAGGAAAAATTCCAGGTTCACCAGGGTAAATGCATTAAAAAAGGCAAATTTACAATTGTGAAGATGCAGTACTAATTAGCGAACGTCTGTATATGAATATATTTATACTTCTTTTCACATACGGAAATATGAAATTCAAACTCATGTGACAAGCCACGGACCTGAAAAAATCAATAACGAAATACCGCATCTAGAAGCCCGCTTACTCCGTAATTTAGACAAAAATGGAATTGTGATGCTGGGATCGTGGGTGGAGACGAGCAATATTTTAGTAGGTAAATTAACTCCTTAGATGGTGAAAGAATTATCATATACCCGGAAGATAGATTATTACGAGCCATACTTGGCATTCAGTTATCCACTTCAAAAGAAACCTGTCTAAAACTACTTATAGGCGGTAGGGGTCGAGTTATTAATATGAGATAGATCCAGAAAAAATGAGGTTCGAGTTATAATCCATAAATTATTAACGTGAAATCAAAGTAGGCGATAAGGTAGCTGGAAGACATGCAAATAAAGGTATTGTTTCCAAAATTTTGCCCTAGTATGATATATATATACTTCTCTATAAAATTATCTTTTTTCTTCAGCGTTTTTTTTCCAACACGTTTTTTTTCTTCAATAGTATGATATACATATACTCCTCTAAATAATATATACTTTTGATTGTTATATACTAAATTATTAGCTTATATAATATATTCCATTGACCATTTTATAATATATTTTTCATTTTAATATTCTAATATACAATATAATAAATATATAATTCTCCAAAATATTATATAATATATGCTTTTTATAGTTATATAAAAAAACTAGGTGGTATAATATATACTTTTTTATCTAATGTCCAATATATGATAATATATTCCAATATGTTATATAATATATACCGATACATATCATTTTTCTCCATAGCGACATATATATTTTCTCAAATCCTAGGTTTTCTATTTTTTTTATCCCTCCCGAAAGTAGCTGCCCCCAACTATTCTTCTTCCAACAACACCCCACAAATTCGTGAGATGGCGCAACCCACCACAAACGACAAATTTCCAACAACTGGAAGCGAATTCTCATATGGTGATGTCCCTCCATGGCGGTGTGACTCCATTGCGTTGACTATGTCCCTCCACGGCGCCAGTTCTGCAGCGGTGAACTCGACGGACGACGACCTCGTGCCAGGTTTCAACCCATAGATTTCCAATGGCGATGACAGATTTTCTGGGCACCACTGGTAAGTCGTTGTTTCAGTTGTGTGGGTGTTTAGAAACTGCCAATGAGAAATACACCCATAGCTATCAGAAAACCCCAAAAACAATGTTGAAGGGAGGGGATCTGAAGATTTTTATTGAATTGGAAAATAGAGAGGCAAGATTTGAGGGGGAAATAGGGAGGCAAGATTTTGGTTCTTAATCCATTAGAAACAAATATTTTAGAAGTAAGCTATTTTTGTAATTTAAATAGGCTAGTTGTATATTTATTCCTTTTCTTTTTAGTACAGTAAATATCGAGGGTGTGAAAATTGGAAAGTCGGAGTACAAGAGAGCTAAAACCATCTTCTTAGGAAAAATGTTTTTGATGGTAATTGGGAGAAAATTAAGGTAGCAGAAGTAAGTCAAAAACGAAATTGGGAAATGGAGGAAATGGGAGTAGAAAGTAAGAGGGAATGTGACTACCAACGAGAGAAAAGAGACAAGGAAGGGAAAAAAAAAAGAAAAAAAAATAGTGGTCAGTTGCTTATTTTAAGTAAAACAAATACAAGAATGATAAATTGAATATTCGACCTCAATTAATGCAATTAGCTATGTTTCAAATGTAAAAGTATCCCTCAAATTTAAAACTATTATATTTTTAGCATATATCATCTAACAATAGATTAGTTTAAAAGAATTGTTAATAGGTGGTAAATTTGCTCGATTAAGGATAAACTGACTCCACTAAGTTCAGATTTGGATGAGGTCGATGAATGGAAGAACCTGCATATAGAGAGTAAAAAGCTCCAATGCCTAGTCCTTGATTCATAGCTCGGCACATATTACCTCGTCCTTGATTCATAGCTCGACCTCAAATTATAACTCGATCAAAGATGAGCTACATCACAAAACCACTCAATCATTTTTTCTACAATATGTCATGATTTACGGAACTCGTCTCATTTTTCAGGTGTGCGAAATCATTATCTCTCGAACAATAAATCAAACCGATACTAACTTGAACGTTAGAGTTTTTACTCTCTTTATACAAGTTATTTCATTCGTCACTATATCCAAATTCGAGCTTTTCTGGAGTTTGATAACTTGTATGACCAAATGATACATGAATAATAAAATGTAAATTTTATTTTTTATTTTCCTTCTTAATTATACAGCTAAATTGACATCATGTTTATTTCAACCCATTAGAAATGATAAGATTTGATTGACTGGGGAAAGAGGTTGGAAACTTTTTTTTTTGGTTTTATTTTAAAATACGTGAAGGAATGGAGTATCCAACCTAAACTATGCTCCCATTGGTACAAAGAGGTTGGAAACTTGAAATATTTTTCTTTATTTCTTTTATTTTTTAATAAATTGGAAACCTGGAAATTGTGTAGTAACTGTCGGCAGATAAAAATAATAAAATATAATAAGAAGAAAATACGAGATTCCTTTTTTTTCATATGGATTTTGATACTTAGCAAAAAGTAAACGTCATTTTCAGGCACGCCTTTAAGGAAAAATATGCACATGGTGACATGGAAACAAATAATTACAACTTTCACTGTCAAAAGAAAAAATAATAATAATGAATAAATAAAAAGAAGAGAGAGAGAAAAAAAAGAGAAAAAATAATTAAAAAAAAACATCGTAAGCAATGATGCGTTAAATTTTGATTTTTGTCCTGCGGTCAAGGGATTATTATTATTATTATTTTCCCATTAAAGCTTTTTTTTTTTAGAAAACTGTTCACCAACTTACTCGTCTTGGTTTCTAGCATCATTTAGATGGTGTTTTGGTTGAAGAAGCCTGCCATTTCTAAAATAGTTTGTTGTGATTCCACTTTTTCACTTGGTTAATTTCTGTTTGTTGTTTGTCCTTAAAAAAAATTATATAATACTATGTGTTAAAATTTGTAATAAAAAATAAGTGTTAAAATTTGATAAAAATGTATAGTAAATTGATTTTTGTTTTTAGGAAAGTATGGTAAATTGAATTTAAACACATTAACTAATAATAATAACAAGGTATTAAATTGACACTGGATTATTTAGTCAAAACAAACATAGTTTAACGGTAATTGACATATATTTCTAACGTATCTCTGACTACGAGATTGTGAGTAAGATCCTCACACCCATATGTTATTTAAGTGTAATAAATCAACAACAATTTTTTAACTTTTTAAAATGTGTGACTTACTTATTTCTAGTGATATAAATATATTAAACTAATACAATTAAGTAATTATTTTAGTATCAAAGCGAGCTAGTTTAGCTAAACACCATTCGATGTATGAAATGACATCGGAATTTGACTATGATATAAATAAAATACAAGTAGGTATTTATTAAAATAAATATCGACAAATTAATTAAATCATTTAATACAAAAAATTTTTCTTTTAAGATTTAACAAATAACTAATACAAATCATTTAATTATTTTTTCAGTAGTTTATAACAATTACTATGGGTTACTTTTTTTTTTCTTATTATCATTATTATGCAATCAACTAACATATATATTTATTGGAATCAATTTTGACTATTTCGTTAATTAATAAATATAAGATTCTTAAGATTTTTTTTGGTATAACATTGCCTTAAAATGAATGAGTCGTATAAAAAGCCACAAATACAAATTTATTCTTACAAAGATATGATAATATTCTCACATATAACCAAGCACTATAATGTTAATAAATCTTGAATCTCTTGTACATTTGTTATCAAACCTCTATGAACATTGAATAAAGTCTTAAACCAAGTGACTTTGATTTGACTTTTCTACCTAATTTTTGTTTGTTGTTTGGTTAGAGGATCAATTATTATGTTTTTATGTTTTTTTAATTTTTATTTTGAGTACAATATTATAGAATGACAATCGAACTTAATTGGAGGTATATGTCAATTACCGTCCTAATTGTATTGATTTGTTTATTAAAAAAAGTTTGAATGGTATCCAATAATACCAAGATAATTTGTTATAAAAATATGATTAAAATATTGCTTTCGTGGACCCACGTAATAAAGTTAACATGTGCACTGAATCTATAAGTCATTTTGGAAAGCGAATTATGATGCAATAATTTGGTACTTACTTTAAATAAAAAATTTGATTTAGTGGATTAAAAATTTCATGTTATAATGCTCATTATTCAAACAAGTATCCAGATTATTTTCCCGAAAAATAAAGTTTCAGATTCCTAACTGAATAAAGTGTCAGACAGTGCATTTATTTGTAATTATTAAATAGGTTAATATCATAAAAAATCTTATTTCCTAAAAAAAAAAAGAAAATCTTCAATCTATTATTATTATTATTTTTTGTTATGTAATTGAGATAACACCAATTACACACCGTTCATTCAACCGGTTGAATTGTTCCCTTCCCCGTGCCTGTGTTTATTATTATTATTTTCGCGTTGGGTTCATAGAAGAAATATGAAAATGGACACAGCCACTGATTTCTGCTGCTCGAGGCTCTGATTCTGGTTCTTTCGCTGGATCTCTCAAGCTCAGCCTCTTGATCGCTTCCTCGCGCGCCCGCCTGTCTATCGTTCTTCGATTCTGCGGGAAATTTGATCGTTGACTCACCATCAATCAGGGTAAACCAGAGAGCTTGTTGTTTTCTGTTTATTTTTCCGCTACTCCTCTCTTTGGCGTTCAGTCCGAGGAAGTGAGAAGTTCATCGCAGATTGATTTTCAGCTCGTTAGTTCTCTGGATTTTCTTGTGGTGTTGGTTAATACTTAGTATCGACTTCTCGAGTAATCAATTTCCGTTTGTAATTTCTCTTATATTTCCTCATACCATGTACATGAGATATTTATTTTCAATATTTTGTCGAACTCAATGCTTTTGTGTTCTGGATCCTTCCTGCGTAATATTATCATGCTACTTGGAACTTAGAGAAGTGCGTTATTACTGTGAGGAATTTTAGTTCTTCGTTTAAGGTTCTTAGAAATTTTCTGTTTGGTCTTGTGGCGCAATTGGAACGAGATGCTAATAAATTTTCACAGCTCGTATTGATAATTTGTACACTGGATTGGTTACAGGATAATCCATTGACAATAAACGAGCGTTTGCAAAAAACCTAAGCTCATGCAGCTATGTAGGAACACTGTATTCGGTTGCAACAAGCATAACTATTCTGCTCAGAGCTCAAAATTTGAAGAGTGACTAGATTTTCTGTCTAGGACTAATTGTTGTTGATTACCCGTGTATAGGTTTATCTTGGTGGGAGCTAACTGCGCCAGGTTAATGAAGCAGCATAGGGCGGAGGAGTGGATTATGTGCTTGCAGTAGGGAAGTGAAAAGTTAATCAAGAATGGCGTTTGAGCCGTTTGAATGGTATTGTCGACCAGTTGATGGTGGTGTATGGACGAAGACAGTAGAGAATGCTCTTGGTGCATACACACCGTGTGCCGTTGATTCTCTGGTGATTGTTATTTCTCACCTGGTTGTTCTAGGTCTGTGTATCTACAGAACATGGCTGATTAATAAGGATTTTAAAGTACAAAGATTTTGTTTGAAGTCAAAGATATACAACTATGTGCTGTGTTTATTGGCGGCTTACTGTGCACTTGAGCCTTTATTCAGACTGGTCATGGGAATCTCAGTATTGAATTTAGATGGGCAGGATACACTCGCTCCATTCGAGGTAGAGTTTCCTTAAGAAATTTAGAATTATTCCTAAAATTGTATTTCTTTACTGAAATTTGAATATTCATGTATTGTAAGCATAATTAAACGGAGAAGGGGCAGTTCCTTTCTACATGGAAATATATCTTCGTGAGAAAAGTCAAAACCTCTTTTGATCATTTACTTTACTTTTCCGTTTGGAGCAGTCAGCTGCTTAAAATAGATACCTGGCTTGCTCACTATTTAGTTTGATAAAAGAACTTGAATTTAGGATGCTTGACCAAAGATATTTCATTAAAATCTTGCAATAGGAGAGGTATGCGAATGGAGCCCTTGCTTTTACACAATAATTTGTTTAGCCAATATTTACTGAGTTTACCCATGATGTAATGGTTTGTTGCTTCTCAAGATTGATAATGTTATTTGAAAGAGCTAAAAAAATATATGAGCTGCTATAAGATTTATAAGATATGTGGGCTACGTAAAAAATGATGACCAAGTCCATATCATTCCTAAGAACCAAAGAAGATTATGTGCAAAAAAGAATGAGATATTATCTGTTTAACTTCTTGATGTATTGGCTAAGAAGAAGTAATTTTGTTGGTTTTGGACAACGAGTTCACTGATACTAAGCATTATGTCCTTCTATTTTAGGTGGTCGTCCTGATAATTCAAGCTCTTGCTTGGTGCTCGATGCTTGTAATGCTTGTTGTAGAAACCAGAGTTTATATTTTTGAATTTCGATGGATCATCAGGTTTGGAGTTGTTTATTTATTAGTAGCGGATGCTGTAATGGTTAATCTAATTCTTCCCGTGAAGGACTTGTATGAGAGGTATATTTTTCTAGAACTTTTTATTTTCTTAAAAAATATATTTAATTTAATCTTATAAATATTTGTGATAGCTGGATGACATCTTACTGTATTATTCATGCTGTTCTTTCTTTGAATAATTAGTTGTTGTTGAAGTTATAAATTATTGGGAGATGCAAAAAGAACTAAGAAGTGCATCCAAAATATATGCTGTTTGTTAGGACAAAAAGAAAAGAGAAGAAAAGGAAAAAAAAAAGTTAAGATACTAAAAGGAAATTCAACTTAAGTGACATATGATGGGTATTTCAAGTTCAGAAATGTGGAGCATGTATGGAACTAGGATTAAATTGCTGTGATTGTGATGGTCTATCAATCTTATGATTGTTAATTTTTTTTTGTTTGAGCATACATTTAGGTATAACATAGATTGACAGTTGTGTTTTTGTCTTTTCAGAAATGTCCTATATTTGTACATCAGTGAAGTCTTAGTCCAGGTTGGTTTCTTTTCTGTCTCTCATTTGTTATGCTATATTTGTACTATTTTGAAATTTATGGTTGGAGAAGAATATAAAGATCTCTAAAGAGTAGTTTGGTGAATTTTTTAGTATGCGCTAAGGCCAAAGTGCTTACCAATATTTTGACGTTGGGCTGTTAAAACTGTTAAAGCTCTCTCTCTCTTTCTCGTCCAGTTTGGATTCTGAAGGTGTTGTTGAATGAGTATGAGTATTATGCCTGAGCAACAAATACTTGAAAGTGTTAGATTCCATTCTTTTGGTTAGCCGTGAAATTGAATATTTAGATATTAAATATATACATTTATATTTTTTATAAGCAACTAAGCTTTCATCGAGAAAAATGATAGAATGTACAAGGGCATAAAAAAACCAGCCCGACAAAAGGAAGCCCACATATAAAAATAGAGGCTCCAATATGTCGTGTTAGTTTGGTTTAAAGGTCACTTTGGTCGATATGTGTCCGCAATATGTTTTTCTTGCTGTTTGTTGCAGTTTCTACTTTTTTCTGTGGGTAATGGGTGCGACTTATATTATGGTCTTGATTAGGTTTCAGGTGTGAGATTTAATCCCATTGGGCTGTTGCTTTTGTAGTCTTACATTTATTTGTAATATTAAAAAAATATTTCACTTAATTTCCAGGAATAAGTAGGTACAAAATTTGCTATATAATTAACTAGTGTCGCAATAGTGGTTTTAATATACAAATACCTTGCATTTTTACTTTTTATTTTCTGAAATTGATTATAAGATTCATTTTTAATATCTTTTCCCCTCTAGCTTGGGAATAGGAAGGACCGAAAATCCACGGTATAGGATTCAAGGATGCTTAGAATTTTTGCAGAGAAATAGAGCTCTATGGAAGAATTTTGTGTGAATATTAGGCATACGGCTTCTTGGTGGGCTTCAATCCACAAGAAGGCTTTCTGTAACTATGGTTTTCTTTTGACTCTTCAGAGTTGGAATTCCTTGATTGTATAGTATCTTAGTTTCTTGGGGAGGGTCTTCTCGACCCTTCGCCCCTAGGTTGTATGCCTCTTTTTTAGACTCCTTTTCTTTTGGAATGAATCTTTGTTTATTATAAAAAAAAAAATAATTGCAAAACTTGAAACAAACATGGTTTATTTCTAACCAGCATTGTATGCCATCTATCAAAGTCAACAAACCACATAGCCTATTAGTGTTCGGTTGGGTTTCATCTCATTCCATCTTGTGAACTCTCTTCTGAGATTTTATTCTTGCTGTAGGCTTTATTTGGTGTTCTTTTGGTCGCATATGTGCCTAGCTTGGATCCTTATCCTGGTCATACCCCTCTAAGTAGTGAATCTGTTGATGTTGAGTATGAAGAACTTCCTGAAGGAGAACGTGTATGTCCTGAGCAGCAGGCAAACCTTTTTTCAAGTAAGTATTATTTTCTTAAAATCCCGCGTTACCTTTTTTTTTGAGATGTGGAGTATATAGATTGCTGTTTTATATTATAAGATTCGTAAATAGTGTATAAACACCATGAATTATTGGTAATAGTGCGAGGGAGTGAAACAATGGGAGAAGATGGGTGTGTTCAAATGTAACTATGCAAGGTCCTGGCAACTTATGCGGTGTAGTTCAAGTAGGAAAATGGTTTAGCTTTAAACCCTCGAGGGAATGAACTAGTTACCTGATATGGGTAATGTTCTAACTGCTTTCAATTTTAAATAACAGAGACTATTTATAACATACAAGTAAATGTGCCAACTATTTTACCACTAACGGAGAATACACATAGGTATATGGATAACTATAATCAACCACATCAAACCCCTACCTCTTGACTCAACCCTTGAACTATGAAATCAAGATCTCTTTCAAATTATTTGGTCTATTTTTCATAACTTTTGGCAGACATATATCTCATGTTAGCCTGCTGTAAGTTATGTATTACTTTTAGCTGGAGTTTTGGCAGCCCAATCAGTTCGTTTAGAATTGACTGAATGCTCTTCCACAGTTCATTCTGTCTTTTTAGTTATATATTTGCTTTTCCTAATCGCGGTTACTTTTTGCTAGAAATTACTTTTGCATGGATGGATTACATAATGAAGCTAGGATACAAAAGGCCACTTACAGAGAAGGATGTTTGGAAACTGGATATGTGGGATAGAACTGAAACATTATACAATAAGTCTGTATATATCTCTCTCAACATTATTTTTGTTGTTTCTTGCTCATTATTTTTGAATCTTATTTAGTGTTCTCTGTAGCTTTCAGAAAACTTGGGATGAAGAATCTCATAAATCCAAACCGTGGCTTCTTAGAGCAATAAACAGCAGCCTCGGAGGAAGGTAAGTAGAAGATGTGTGGCAAATAGTTTCTTCTGAATGGAATGCTATTTCCCCGTTTCTAATAGACAAAAATAGTTTCTTTTGAGTGATAGATATTTGGGCAAATTATTAATTTGCCAGTACTTTTATTTTTCTTTTATCTTCTGGTTTCTTACAACGAAAATATTTCCCTAGTTTTGGGCAACATGCTTATGCTTACTAGTACATTAACACGTGTATTATTCATGACATTGACCATTTCTTTTTGATGAGAAATAGGAAACTAAAAACAACTGTTTTCTATAAATAATCAATGGTGTACTTATTAAAAAATGATGTGCAATTTAATCAATAATTTCACGAATTAAACTTTTATTAGTTGTAGAAATTAAACAAGTGACTAAACATGAATGTTTAGAATATGTTGTTGTTATTCTTTGAGAAGATAATACTCTTAAAACTTTTGTATAGTATTATCTTATAATAATAATAATGAAATAAAGTAAATTATACAGTGATTTTTTTTTTTGATGAAAAGATTTTATAATAAATAATATTTTAAAGTTGTTATAGTTTTAATTAATGAACAATGAATTGACAAAATGAATTTATTTTGTAAGGAAAAATATTTGTGAAGCTATTCTAATTTTAATGAAGTACTAATAAATTGGTAATTGTTAAGAGAGACGGAGTGCACATAAAGATTTAAATGATTAATTGGTAATTGTTAATGACATGTTTTGTAAATTTAATTATTGATAAATTGACAGGAAAAAAGAAACTTAAAAAAACTAGCAGAGGATAACGAGTTCTTCTAGGAGAAATAAATCACAATTTTTGGGCGAAGGAATGGAACATTTTGTTAACAAAAGCCAATAGTTCAGAAAAGGGACGTGAAGACAAGGACTCTTTCCTCCAAAGCCTAGGAGCTTGTAAAAAAATTAATTAATCAGGAAAAGTCTAGGAAAGTGAAAGTGGAACCCACCACAATCCATGTAGCCATTTAGGCAATTTAGTCAACTCAGCACCACCTATAACCTCTATGCCAGCCTACTCATTGGTTCCACTGGGTCGTGAAATTAATGATTATTAAAAATTTTAAGAACTTGCATAAAATTTTAAAATAATTTCATTTTAACAATAGATAATTTGTACATATTATTAAATTTTCATCATTGAATTTTTAATAAATAAATTCTATTTTTACTTTACTAAGCAATGGATTTAAATAATGTTTCATATCTTCAATAATGTGTTTTTTTCATTGAATCAATTAATACATTATGTATTTATATCATGTCAATTTTATAACTGGGTACTTAGGTTCTCCCAGGACATGGGTTGTGTTGTACTTGTACCTAGTCATGCAGTGTGTCGGGTTGCATGCCTAATTAATTTGATAGCAACCATAGAGTGCTATAAGGTATTTGATTCTCGGTAGAGTCTTTCAACCCATGAAGAGGTCATGCCTAATTAATTTGATAGCAACCATGGAAAATTTTCTTTATTATTATCATTTAGTATGCATTACAAAAATTTCCCGCTATACAGCAAGAATCTGACATTAATCCTCTCATACCTACTAATTGGTGTACTCACTAATAAATCGACTAATTAAACTCATGTTTCTATAATCAATTCGATCCCCCGATTGAATCGGGGGCAAACGCCTACGAAAAGATCGTTTGGATTTAAGAAGGAGTCGCTTGGATTTATCCATGGTTTGTTTATTCCTTATCCCGAAAATCCTATTTCGATCGGATCTAAAATGATTTAGAATTAAGAAATAGGATAATATTTTTCTTGACTTTTACACATTAATGCTTCCAAATATAATGAAGTATATGAGCTAAAGAACAAAAGACCACAAATTTACTTTCTCACTTATTTATTTTTAAGCAAAATTAACTGAATTGGATATGTGGTACTTACTTTTAGTAAATGACAAAATAAAACTGGTTTGGCTGCTTACTCTTTGTATTGTCTTTTGTTAATTTTCTCTCTTTTCCATTTATAGGTTTTGGTTGGGTGGCATGTGGAAGGTAATATGATCTACCTCTTGAAATAACTAGCACATTTAGGGAATGTATCCATTTATGGACAAATATACTATGCTCATCAAATTTGAAACATGTCACGATGCATTTAATATCTGAAAATTTTTTTAGCCTTAATAATTGTTATTGAGATTGTTTATTGGTTTAGCTTAAAGAAACGTTGTGCTTCATCGCTGATGTTGAAAGGGGTTATATTTATTTACTGGAAAAAAGCAAATCGCGTTCAATGTTTCTTGTTATTTTTGTCCCTCTGTTTGACTAATATGGGGACTTGCAGGTTGGCAATGATCTTTGTCAATTTGTGGGACCTGTCATCTTGAATAAACTTCTTGAGGTCGGTGGGCTTTTTTTGTCTGGTGCTTCATTCTGTACCTATATTTTCTTCACTGTTAAACATGCTTGCTAGTTTGTGATGTGAACTTGCATCAAGTACCATTTATCATGGTTGACGACGCTCAGTAGGAATGCCAATTAGTTGAAGCATAGAAGGCATATTAGGCTTGTCTAAGTTCTCACTTTCTCTGTCATCTTTCATTGGTAACTCTGAGGTATTGTTTGGAATGAGGTAGACTTTCTTTCCCATAAATTAGTTAGTGGAAAATAACTCATAACTGTTCCATATATATAAAATATTGAGGAGCATTTTTTGACTAAATTTATTTAAAGCAAAAAATCTTCTTCTTTTTATCATATAGGGTGGGAAAATTGCTGGAAAAAAATGTGGATAAGTTATCCTCCCAGAAATGGGAAGTTTATAAGTTACATCTTACCAACCATGAAGAATCCAAAACAAAGGCGTCTATGGAGATGCTTAGCTATGCAAGCACATAAAAGAAAATAGAAATGACTTTATCCTTAGTCCGGAAGTATTATATAATTTTTAGAGTATGAAAATATTTAGTTTCCATTCCAAAAAAAAAAAAAACAGAATTTTGGTTTCCTATAAAAGGAATTATGTAAAATAATCTTTCTGTATTTGGTTGATTGCAAGAATATAATATATAGCCCGCGTTGGGCAATAGACCTTCTTGGATGGTTATTTGTCCTGTTAACTGCTAACAACCATACAAAACACTCTAGGTTGATCTACTGGTATTGGGGCAAATAAAAGGGACTTCGGAAATGGCACCCACCTAGGATAAAATCCCAGCGTTTCTTTCATTTTTCTCAATAAAAGCATGGTTTCTCTTAAACCGTATGTTGTGGGTTCATGAAGTTGTGTGTAAGTTGGCTATGATACTCACTGTATAAAAAAAAGTGTTACCTACTATACAGGCTTTACAAAGCTTAAAAATTGTCCTATGTTAATGGACTTGAAAATCAATCTATTACAACTTTAGTAGAAAATAAACCAAATCACATATGGATAACTAACTGGCCTGTAAGAAAGTCTTATTACCGAATACATATTACATATCTTGTTATCTTTGGTTAGCACATAATTGAGTTGAAAGGATATTGATTATGGAATTTACGTTACCATGAACGTTTAAATTTGTTAGACCCTTTAAATAAAATTTTCTGGTTAATTCTATCCCATTATATGTTACATATTTCTTTTGAATACCTGCAGTCCATGCAGCGTGGAGATCCATCTGGAATGGGTTACATTTATGCTTTTTCAATATTTGCTGGAGTGGTATGATCCAAATTCTTGTCTTATTTTTGCCAGATCTATGCGTAGGTTGGTCTTTCATATTTATGTGTGTTCATCGTGACTTCAAAAGATGATATATTATATTCTGATGTATGTATTCACTGTGCATGTTGTACAATTGTCTAACTTGCTAATTGGCCAAGTACATATGCAATTTGGATGTTTTGATTGTATTAAATTTTGTTTAGATTTTTAATAATTGTAAATTTTGACCTATTAGTTGTTAATATTTTATCATGATGTTATCTTTTTCTCTCTCTCTCTATCTCTCTCTTTTTTAATAAGAATCGACCTTTTTGTTGATTAATGAAAAGATACAAATAATTGCTCAAGGATACAGATACCAAAGGGAGTGAGAAAAGGAAAGCAGAAAAATATAAATGCATTCAAGTTAATACAAATTACATCGAAAGAGTAATTATCAAACAAATTAGATAGAGAACACCATAATGAAGTCTTGTCTTTTCCTGAGTCAAGATGATCTGTTAGGCCCCCAATTATACATACCTATGGAAGGAAGGGTAGAAATGGAAAAGGAATAGTAGGAGAGTGAGTGACCTTAAAGGATCAACGGTCAGGAGAGAGAATGTAGGGACGTAGAGGGAGAATAAAAGAGGGAGGTAGGCTAGTTGGGGATTATGCTTTTTGTATTCAGTGAGGTAGGTAGGACAGTTCCCCACCCTCTCAAATTGGTGGGTTGATTGTGTATAGCCTACGGGCTCAGTTCTTCAACAGTAAGGGATACCTTACATCTTTGTATCAGAGCGCGTTTGTCTTGGGTAAGCAAGGAAGGATGACACAAAAGGAACTCGACAAATGCTTTGAAGCTACAGGGAAGGGAGATAGTTGGATTGAAGGAGGCGATGGTAGTGATAAATGCAAAATCTGGCGATCAACAACGATGCAGTGAGAATGTCCTAAATACCTTGGATGCCTTCATCGCAGAGGTGATCGGGGGAAGTAGGCTGCCGGTGAAAGACGACAGGTGAAGTTACGACAATTGCAATTCAACAGGATCAAGGCCATGACCCGAATTGATTCAAGAAAGTCAAGATACCGGTATTTTTGGGCCCAAACATAGATTCGTGGCTATCCGAGCAAAAAGGTATTTCGAAATCCATAAGTTGACAGGTTCAGAGAAGATGGTGGTAGTGGTGATTAGCTTCAACGGGGTTGCACTGGCTTGGTATTGATCGATGGATAATCGAGACAAGTTCAAGGACGGGGAGGATTTGAAGACGCGAATGAGGGAACGAATCCGATCGTCAAGGGAAGGGCCTCAATGTGCACAACTCCTATCCATTCGTCAAGAGGGAATCGTCGTAGAGTACCGACAACAGTTTGAGCCCTCACCGCCCCGCTACCATAGCTATCGAAGGAGGTCCTTGA